CGCGGCGCGCGAGGACGCGTCGACCCGCGCGGCGCTCGTCGCGACGTTGCCGTCGCTGCGGGAGCTGGACGACGTCGTCGTGAGCGCGCGCGAGCGGCGGGAAGCGAAGGCGACCTTCGGGGAGGAAGACAGCGACGCCGCGGCCGTCGTCGTCGCCGCCGCCGCCGCCTCCGCGGCCCCCGCCGCCCCCGCCGACGTCGCCGCGGGCGCGGACGCCGTCGCCCTCACCCCGCCCACCGCCGCCGCCGCCTCCGCCGCCGCCGCCGCCGCCGCCGCCGTGCTCGCGCCCTCGGGGTCTTCTGCGACGGCGGCGTCGGAGGACGACGACGCGTCCGTCGAACGCCTGAGGGCGCTCGCGAGGACGCTCGCGGACCCCTCGCTGAGCGCCGTCGGCGCGAGGGACGCGGCGACGGCGGCGACGACGATCGACGCGACGCGAGCGCTGCGCGCGGCGAAGGACTCGGCGTCCGCGCGCGGGCTGACGCGCGCGGACGAGACGAGGGACGGCGAGATCGACGTGGACGCGAGGGTGAGGCAGGGCGCGCGGAGGCACGGGGCGTCGCTGCGAGAGGCGAACGCGCTGCGAGGGAGAGACTGACGACGTCTGACGGAGACGTTTTTCTTCTGTTCTGCTCGCTCGTCGCAAAAATGCGTTGTTAGTAGACTTTTAACTAGTAGATGCCGCCATCCGCGCCTTTCCCGCTCTCCTCACGCCGCGGGCGCCGCGAGGAAGTACTTCAGGCGCTCGATCAGCTGCGGCGCGTTCGGCAGCCCCTCGATCCGGTCCGCGACTTTCCCGTCCTTGAACAGGATGATCGTCGGCAGAGCCTCCACGCCGTACGTACTCGCGACGTTCGGGTACTTCTCCGTGTTTATCTTCACGAGCTTCACCTGGTCCTTCCCGACCGCCGCCGCGACCGCGGGGAAGACCTGAGTGCTGAGGATCTGGCACGGCCCGCACCACGTCGCGTAGAAGTCGACGAGGACGGCGACGGACGAGCCGGCGATCATCTCGTCGAAGGACGCGAAGGTCTCTTTCGTCGCCATCGCGAGGACGTCGCCGCCGCGCGAACGGACGCGCGCGCGACGATTCCTCCGCGTCGGATGATGATGAAGATGATGATGCGTCAGAAGACGGTGACGCGCGCATTGCGACGTCGTGACGCCGCGCGAGGACGCGCGCGGCGCGAGGACGCGCGAGGACGTCGAAGCGCACGACATGACGGGGTGGGCGACGGACGCGCGAGTGCGGCGAGCGCGACGACGACAGTGACTGACGACGGGCGCGATGGGAGCGCGTCTCAGATATTTATTTACAAGGCGAGACGCTTTTGCTTTTTCGAGGGACCGCGAATGACGCGCTCCACGCTCCGACCTTCGAGAGGCTTCCTTCCTTCTCTGGTGCCGCGTCTTCTTCGCGCTCATCGTCACGGCTCCTGCCCGCAGTCGAGCTTCTCGTCGTCGTCGAGCAGGGGGTTGATGAACTCGCACAGGGGGTCGTACGTCACCGCGCCTGCGCGGGGGTCGTCGGCAGCGGCGGCGGCGGCGTCAGCGGCGAAAGGGGGGGGGGAGGGCGAGACAGAAGATCGCGAAAAACGAAGACCAGCAGAAAACCAAAAATCACTTTTCCCCGAGGGTGCGACTCGGAAGCGGCGGGAAGACCCCGGGCTACCGGGACGGGGACGGGGACGGGGACGGGGACGGGGACGCCCGCGGACGACGCACCTCCGGCTTCGAACCCGAAGACGTCGAACAGCGCGTTCACCGCGACCTCGACGAGCCCGCGCCTCGAAACGGGCGCCGCCTCGAGCGCGTCGCGGACCGCGGACGCGTCCGAGGGCTCGAGCGTCGCGAGCGACGACAGCGCGCGCGCGCGTCGAGCGCTCGGCGTCGGCGCTGCTGACGTCAGCAGCGCGCGGCCGCTCGCGGTCGGCGACGCCGCCGCGCACGCGACGTGCGCGGCGAGCGCGCACGTCGCGAGGAGGCGCAGCGCGAGTCGTCGCGCGGCGGGCATGTCGAGGAGGAGGAGGAGGAGGGGGGGGGCGGGAGAGGGGCGAGGGCGAGGGAAGAGGAGGAGGAGGAGGAGGAGGGCGAGGCGCGGCGCGGGCGGCGCGCGGGCGGGCTGCGGTGGGCGTTGTGTCGGCCCTCGGCCGCTCGAACGCGCGTCGTGCGTCGTGCGCGCGGTCTCCGCGCGGGGACTCGCGCGCTCGGGGCCTCGTCGCGCGCGCGGTCGCGCCGTCCGAAGACGAGCCTCGGCGTGGGCGTCACGGACGCCGAGAAACGGCCGCGTGCGGTTCGCGGTCGGGTGCGAAACAGTCTGTCTGAGGATAAGGCGGTGCCGACCTACGCGCGCCACTCGAACGGCGCGTCGCGACGCTCCGCCCGCGCTCCGCCCACCCCGATGGCGACGACTTCTCTCACCGCCGCGCCCTTCGCGCGCGCCTCGGTCCGCGCGCCTCGGCGATCTTCGCGATCGGCGTCGACGACGACGACGACGACGACGCGCGCGTCCGGAGAAAACAGCGCGACAATCGCCGGCAAAAACTCCCCCGCGTTCGTCGACGCCGTGAGCGGCGAGTGGGAGGGCCACAGCGTCTACTTCGACGCCGCCGGGACCCCAATCGCGCTCCCGAGGAACGTCGTCCCGCCCGCGTTCGCGGAGTGGGGCGTCGAGCTCGTGGACTGGCAGTCGCAGTGCGCGATGCGCGCGGACGACGACGCGAAGGAGATCTACGCGAGAGAGCTCCGATTCTTACCCACGGTGGGCTGCGAAGCGGACGCGAGCACGGTCGAGAGCGCGATTGAGCGACGCGTGGCGTTCGACGACGTGACGCCCGCGCCGCCGGGCGACGACGCGCCGGGCGGCGGGAATGGCGTCGAGTTCGGGAGCTACAGCGCCGGCCCGGGGAGCCTGGCGGCGCGCGACGGCGAGGAGACGACGATCGTGATGGAACACGCGCTCGCGTTCACGACGGGCTCGGGCGAGGACGCGAAGCGAACGAGGCTGCGGCTGCGCCAGACGATATCCCCGGTCGACGGCGCGATCGAGTCCATCGTCGGGTGGAAGGAGTACTGGTACGAGCCGTTCAACGACGCGGCGTCGCTGTGCTCGAGCTGCGGCGGGCCGAACAAGTGGGGCGAGACGCTCGCGACGGATCCGGCGGCGACGGTGTCGGGCCCCGGCTGGCGCGGCGACGACTGGCGCGGTTTGTCGGACGCCGCCGTGATGCTCAGGGAGGGCGTCTGGAGCGATCGCGCGGTGCTTCCGGACGGCGGCGGCGTCGTGTATCAGATCGGGTGGCACATACCGGACCGGGACGCGGTGTACCTGCCGCCGTGCAGGGAGGTGGAGACGCACCTCGTGAGCGAACGAGAGTACGACGGCGACGGGAACTTCGTCGGGGCGAAGTTTATGAAGCTGACCAGGCCGGCGCCGAAGTGAGTGAGGGTTACAGTGCGTGATGATGAAACGCATCATCTCGCGGCGGGCGTTACTTGACCTATACGTGTACTGTAGGTTGCTTCGCGTTGCCTCTCTTTGCTTGTACTATTACTAACGTATTACTTCCACTACACACTTCCTACTCGGTACGAAGGTACTTTCGTACTAACCTATCGCGAACGATACAACCCCGGACTCGCGATGCGATACTCGTAGACTCGACTATCATTCCGTCCTCCCCCCCGCGTCCGCGCTCGCGTCCGCGCCCCACTCGAGACGCGCGCCCTCCGACGCCAACGACGCGGTCGCGCCGACGTCCCATCCGCGCGCCTCGCACCCGGCGATGAACGACGGGTACACGTCGCGCATCCATCGCGCGGCTTCCTCCTCGCTCATCCCCGCCTCCGTCTCGCGCGACGCACGGCGTTCCTCCGCGGGCGTCGGCGGCGGCGCGTCTGGCGGCGGCGCGGGCGCCGCCGCGCCCGCGAGCAAACACGCGTGCGCGTAGGCGCGCAACTCGTCCGCGGGGGTCGCGCCGCGTCGGAGGACGACGCGGACGCGCGCGGCGGGCGGAGACGCGCCGGTTCGCATTCTCCGCGTTCTCCGGCGACCGTTCGCGTTCTCCAGATCCTCCTCCCGGAATATCAAGTACGCGTCGTCCGTCGCCTCGGACAACGCGTTCGCGACGACGACCGCGGAACGCGCGTCGGACGCGCTCGACAGCCGCGACCCCATGACGACGCCGCCGCCCTCGCCGTCGCCCGCCGCGAGTCGCGCGCGACGCCGCCGCCGCGTGAACGGCAGAGACGACGGCGTCAGCAGACTCCACGGCCAGAACATCCATCGGAACCCTCGCGGGAGCAGCGGCTCGATCGCGGACACCTCCGCAATGGACATGACGCCCTCGCCGATCGCGGCGACGGCGCCGGCGCCCCCGCCGACGTACGCGTCGTCGTCGTCGTCGTCCGACGAGTGCGGGTGCTCCGACGCGGAGGAGGAGGCGCGCCCCCGCCCCTCGCCTCCGCCGCCGCCGCCGCCGCCGCGCTCGCGGTGCCACCGGAACCGCCGCAGCAGTATCCTGACGACGACGCGGTTCATCGTGTTAAGACGCAGCGACCGCATCGCGCGGACGTTGAAGAAGACGTGAAGCGCGGTGAGCAGAGCGAACCAGAACCAGATCGCCGCCGCGTCGTCCGCGGCGAGCCGCGTCACGAGCACGCCCGCGCCCATACCGATCAACGTCGCCGCGGTCTCTTGCGTCCCTTCCTTCGCGTCGACGTCCGCGACGGAACCCGTTGTAGAGCCCCCCGTTCTGCCCCGCGTGAAGCTTCTTCCCGCGTCGTCCCCGGCCGCGAAGTGCTGCGTCAGCGCCGCGCGCGTCGCGCGGGACGTCACCCCGCACAGCGACCGCGCCAACCCGCCGAGGCACGCGGCGACGAGGAAGTAGTAGTCGCCGCCGAAACCGGCGGTCGTCGCGGCGACGCCCTCTTCGTTCTTGACGCTGACCGCCCCGAAGCGACCGAGGGTCTGCCACGTCCACCACCCGCCGCCGCCGCCATCGCCGGAGAAACTCTCCGCGCCGCCGCCGCCGCCGCCCGCGACTAGTCTCGAGAACGCCGCCACCGCGATCGCCCTCGCCGCCGGCGACGCGAGCTCGATCGCCATCCCCAGGTCGTTCATCGCGTCCGCGAACAGCCGCCAACGCTTCGCGTCCGCGTCCATGGCCCGCCCCCGCGTCGCGGCGAACGCGACGCCGCCGAGCATCGACGTCAGGTCCCTCGCCACGAACTGCGCGGTCGCGGACGCCGCGGTCGCCGTCGACGAGCCGACGCCGGCGCCGCGAAGCAGCGCGGTCGAGCACAAGATCCCGCGCGCGTACGAGCACACGCCCTGCGCGGCGTCGCAGAGTTGGAACGCGAGGTAATCCGAGCTGACGCTGCGCGGGTACCCCTCCGGGAGGAACGCGCGTCGGAGCGCGCGGAGGCACGCGCGGAGGAGCGGCGGCGCGACGCCCTCCGAGGACCCGGCCTTCCCGCCGAATCGCGCGGAGGCGCGGTACACCCCGCCGCGCGACGCGTGATGCGCGTCGACGACGCGCGGGTCGTCCGACGGGAGGCTGTCGTCTCCATCCGGTCGTCGCGCGCGCCACACGTGCTCCGCGCGTCGCGCGCACGCGTCCGCGAACTCCGCGGCGACGACGTCGTCGTCGTCGTGATGATGATCACGCCGCGCGGAGGACGCCGCCGTCGCGCGTCGTCGCGCGCCGTGCGTCCGGCGTCGTCGCGCCTGGCTCTCTCGATTGAGATGCCACAGGACGGCGTCAGCATCTCTTCGGTCGACGCCGCTGACGACGTCCACGACCGCGCGCGCGTGATGACGCCCGCCGTGGTTCGCGCTGACGCGCCGGTGACGCGACGGCGAGGGCGCGTGCTGGTCCAGGGGGTGGACGAGCAGGTCGTCCGACCCGCCCGGGTCCGAGTCCCCCTCGCGCATCGCGGAGTGATGACGCGCGAGCTCCAGATCCGGCATTGAAGCGTCGGACACGCCGACGTTCAGCTTCAAAATGAGTTCGTCGACGACCGCCCCCGCCGCGTCGCCGACGTCGTCGTTCGGCCGCGCGCGCGCCGCACGCCGGCCAACGCGACGCCGCGGGCGTCGCTGCATGTCCATCGCCGCGCCCGCGGCGACGATCGCGCGAGCGACGCGCCGCCGTCGCGTCGAGCCGCCGCGCGCGGTCGCGGTCGCGTCGTCGTCGTCGTCGTCGTCGTCGTCGTCGTCGCGGGCGGCGGCCAGGTGCCGACTCCATCGCGCGCGCCCTCGTCTCCGTCGTCTCCCTCGTCTCCCTCGATCGTCGCGGCGCTCGCGATTCGCGACGTCCGCCGCCGCCGCGAGCCTTCTCCCGCTCGGCGTCATGCCGTCTCCCTCGACCGGCGACGCCGCGGTCGGCGTCCTCGCGGCCGCGGCGACGCCGCTCCTCGGCGCGATCGGGCTGTTCGCGTGGAGCAGGGCGTGGACGGGAACCGCGTTCGCGCTCAACCTCGTGAAGTGCTCCGTCGGGACGCTCGGGTTCGCACTGATGGGAATGCTCACGACTGTCGACGCCGGGTGGCTCGCGGGCGCGACGCCGACCGCGGTGACGTGGCTCGTGATGTCCTCCCTCCTCGGCATCGTCGTCGGGGATAATTTGTGGCTGCACGCGTTGCGCGTCATCGGCGCGAGGCGCGTCATCCTCGTCGGCATCCTCCAGCCGTTCGTCGCGCTCATCTTGGCGCGCGCGGTGCTGCGCGAGCCCGTGAGCGCGGCGACGATCGCGGGGATGGCGGTGACGTTGATCGGGGTGTTGACCGTGTCGTTGGAGAAGGACGACGCGACCGGCGGCGGGGACGACGGCGACGACGGCGACGGCGGCGACGGCGAGGGGGGCCCGGCGGAGGTGGAGCTTCCGGAGATGGGCGGCGCGTCGGCGGCGGCGGCGGTCGCGGAGGACGCGACGGCTTCCACCGCGACGGCGTTTTCGGCGGCGGCTGCGGCGAGGTCGCGCGGGTACGCCGCCGCGGCGTTGAACGTCGTCTTCGACACTTTGGGCACGGTGCTCACGAAGCGGCACGGAGCTTCGATGAACACGTGGGAGATCAACTTCATTCGCTTCGGGTTCGCGGCGGTTTCGCTCGCGTGCGTCGCCGGCGTCAGAGCCGCGGTCGCGCGTCGCGGGAGTGACGCCAGTAACGCCGCGTACGCGCGCGTTAACGATGATGATGAAGAGGGCGGCGGCGGCGGGGGTGGTGGTGGTGATACTTTGAAAGAGGTGACGGCGCCGTTCTTTCTGCCGTCGCTGACGCGCGACGCGTGGGCGTTGGTTTTACTCGGCGTGGGCTTCACGACGTTTCTCGCCCCCGGCCTCGGCAACTACGCGCTGTTCCGCGTCCCGTCGCTCGCGGTGTTCAGCACGCTGATGTGCGTCGGGCCGCTGTACTCGTTGCCGTTGGGGTGGTACGTCAAGGGCGAGAGAGTCACGTGGCGGGCGGTGGGGGGGTCGTTCGTCGCCGTCGTCGGGTGCATGCCGATGATTTGGGGGTTGTGAGATGCTCGCGACGACCGTATGTAGACTGCTATTCTTTACGTACGTATTACATCGCGACCGATCGAATCAGAGCGATCGCGCGAGCGACTAGAACTAGTAGGACACGTGTACGGTATCACGCACACGTGGACGAACAGGGGCCACGCGTTCAAAAAAACCCCGGTCGGTACAGTATCGACCGCACGTATCCGTCGTCACCGGTCTTGGTCCTTGTCGTCCTCGTAAAATTCGTCGTCGCCGAAGACCAACTTGTCCATTCCCGCCGCGCCGCCGTACCTCTCGTCCGGGTTCAACTCGTCCTCGTCAAACTCCGGGATCATCGAGTCCGGCGGAACCTCGTGCATCCCCACCCCCGGCGCGTGCTCCAACGCGCGCAAGTTCTCCATCACCTGCTGCTTTACGTCCTGCAGGTACGTCTTCGTGTTCAAGTTTTCGATGTAATTCGTCGGCTGCACCTTCATCTTATACCCCACGTCCGCGTAGTACTCGTAGTAGAAATCGTGCTCCGGGATGTCCGTGGACAACGTCTTGTCCAGAAGCGCCGCGGTCTCGTACGTCCAGCACCGCGCGACGTTGGACTTCGTGTACCCGCCGCCGCCCGTCACCAGCAGAGGCACGTTGAACCGCTTCATAAACTTCACGCAGTCCGCGTGTCCGTCCAACGTCAGGTTGAAGCATCCTAACCTGTCCGCCGCGAGCGAGTCCGCGCCGCACTGAAGCACGACCGCGCCGGGCTGGTACACGTCCATGACTTTCTGCATCACGGACTTGAAGATGGCCCTAAACCCGGCGTCGTCCATGCCGTCTAGGAGAGGGACGTTGACGCTGTAATATTTCCCCGCGTCGCCGCCGACGTCTTTGAGCGCGCCGGTGCCGGGGAAGAACATGTCGCCGTACTTGTGGAACGACACGGTCATGACTCTGTCGGTTAAATAAAAAGCTTCTTCCACGCCGTCGCCGTGGTGGATGTCGATGTCGATGTACAGAACCCTCGGGTGATGCTTCAGGAGTTCGAGGATCGCGAGGACTAAATCGTTGATGTAACAGAACCCGGACGCCTCCGACTTCTTCGCGTGGTGTAACCCCCCGGACCAGTTGATCGCGATGTCGCTGAGGCCGTGGTTCAATCGCACCGCGCCGTCGATGCTCCCGCCCGTGTACAGCTTGCAAAAGTCAAACAGACCGTCGAATATGGGGCAGTCCTCGCCGAGGTTATACCGTTGCATCTGCTCGGTGTGGTCCTGTTGCGTGTCTGGGGTGATGCGAGAGAGGAAATCCACGTAATCTTCCGCGTGGAACTGCGACATCTCCACGGGGTACGACCGACGCGGGCGCTGCGAGGGGGGAGGGAGGGAGCGAGCGAGAGAGAGAGAGAGAGATAGAGAGGAGGAAGAGGCGAAGGAGCGCGCGTCAGTCGGCGGTGGTCGGAGGACGGGAGGGTGCCCGCATCGCGTCGCGTCGGTCGATCGATCGACGCGGAAATAAATAAACACGTCGAGAATCGATCGCGCGCGCCCGCGATCGAGCGACGGATCGACGCGCGTCGCCGCGCCGATCGTCGCGAGCGAGCCGCGAACGCCGCGGGGGGTGTCCGGGTGTGGGCGCGCACGTAGACTTCCATCTTCTTGTGCAGATCGTACGACAGCACGAGGTGATGCGTCATCGCGAGACGATGCGGCTTCATCGGGTGATTGTTCCCATAGTACGACGTCCCAACGTCCGCGTCGTAGAAGTAGGAGATGCGGTCCTTGCTCGGCGCCATGACGCTCGCTCGCGACGCTTCGCGCGCGCGCCCAGCCCCCCGCGCGTGGCGTCGCGAGCGCGATGTGCGCGGAACGACGCCGGCGAAAGCGAGCGGTGGCGTTCGGGCCGCGGCGCGCGGGTCGATCTGATCGATGTGGTAGGGTTGCGAGATTCGTTCACGCGCCGTGTCGCTCGAGTTTCTGTTGGGACTTCTGTCGGATTCCACTGCGCTCGCTACGTGCCTACGGTTCTTCCTCTTCGCTAATCCACGCTCGCCTCCAAAGCCGCCATCGGGTCGTCGCCCTCCTCCTCCTCCTCCTCCTCGCCGGCCGCGATCTCCTCCTGGTACTTGTCCGCGTCCGCCCACACCGGCTGCATGGACCACCCCTGCTCGCCGCCCTTGATGGCCTGAGGCTTGGCGTAGTTGCATCGAATCACGCGGCCGTAGAGCTCCGCGTTGTGCATGTTCTCCATCGCCTCCTTCGCGTCATCCCTGCGATGGATGGACGGAGGGAGGGAGGGAGGGAGGGAGGGAGGGGTCACGGCGGGGTCGGGAGCGACGGCGCCGCGAGGAGAGGACGGCGGGGACGGATTCATTCGAAGGATGAATGAAGCGAGAGGAGCGAAGTGCGAACGAACGAATCGACGAGCGCGCGCGCGTACTTCTCCTCGAAGGTGACGAAACCGAACCCGCGGTTCTTCTGCGTCGTGTGATCGAGCGGGATGTTCACGTCCTTGAGATCCCCGAACGGGATGAACGCCGCGTGCAGGAACGCCTCCGTGACTTGCTCGTCGAGGCCGCCTGTCGCGTCGGGGAGGAGGAGGAGGAGGAGAGGGAGGTAAGATTTCGATCTTCGTCAGATCGCGATCGGAGGAAGAGGGAGAGGATCGATCGGACGTCCGGCGCGGGTGCGAGGCGCGCGCGGGGGCGTTCGCGACGCGCACCGACGTAGAGCGTCGTCTTCGCGTTCGCCATCTGCGCGCGCGAAACCCACTCCGAGGCGGCTGTCGCGACGAGGGAACGAACGAGCGAATGAATGGCGGCAACGCCCTCGGTGCCTTTTTCTCGGAGCTTCGCCAAAAAAATAGCGCGCGGCGCGGCACAGCGGAACGCTCTCGGTCGACGACTGGAACGACGTGTCTCCTCCGCGCGCGTCGCAGCACGCCGCGCGCTCGCCGTCACACGCGCGCGCACACGCCGCACGCGAACACAATGGCCATGGCCATGTCCGCGCTCAGGCGCGTCGTCGGCCCCTCCCTCGCGCCCGCGTCGCTTCCCCGACCCCCCCGCCGCGCGCGCGCGTCGGTTCCACGCGCCGTCGCCGCGAATCGAACGCGCCGTCTCACGCCGCGTCCGTCGTCCGCCCGTCGTCTCCCTCCTCAGGCTCGCCAGCGGCTTCGGGCTCCGCGCGACCGCCGCGCGCTCCGCCGTCCGCGCGACGCCGACGCGCGCGTTCACCGTCCGCGCCGCGGTCGCGTCCGCGGAGCCGACCGTCGTCAAGCGCGAAGGCGCGTCCGACGCCCGATCGACCCTCGCGCCGTCGCGACCACCCCGCTCTTATCCGAACGAAAGCGAAACGAAACCCGCGCGACGCGATCGATGGCCATCCCGCGACCGTCGCCCTCATATGCCCGTCCTCCTCCCGCGCCCTTCTCACGCCGCCATCCCCACCTCTCCCTCCCTCGCCCCAACACCACAGACGTCATCACGGGCGACGCGGACAACAACGTGACGGACCACATCTTCGAGAAGATGGGGTACGCGCTCCACAAGCGCCCGGACCATCCCCTCGGCATCATCAAGGCTGTCATCGGCGACTACTTCGACGAGAAGTTCGGCAAAGGCGAGTTCGCGACGTTCGACGACATGTACCCCATCGTCACCGCGCACGCGAACTTCGACTCCGTGCTCGTGCCCCCCGACCACGTGTCTCGCAGCGCGAACGACACGTACTACGTGAACAAGGACACCGTGTTGCGGTGCCACACGAGCGCGCACCAGGCGGAGATGTTGAAGGACGGCGCGCGGAAATTTCTCGTCACCGGCGACGTCTACCGCCGCGACTCCATCGACGCGACGCACTTCCCGGTGTTTCATCAGATGGAGGGCGTCCGCGTGTTCGAACCGAAGGAGTGGGAGGACGCCGGCGTCGACGCCGTCGACCTCGCGAGCGCGGAGCTGAAGGAGACGCTCGAGGGGCTCGCGACGCATCTGTTCGGCGACGTCGAGACGCGGTGGGTGGACGCGTACTTTCCGTTCACCGAGCCGTCGTACGAGCTGGAGATCTTCTTCAAGGGCGAGTGGCTCGAGGTGCTCGGGTGCGGGGTCATGGAGATGAAGATCTTGGAGGACGCGGGGCTCGGGGACAAGAGGGCGTGGGCGTTCGGGCTCGGGTTGGAGCGCCTCGCGATGGTGCTCTTCGACGTCCCGGACATTCGCTTGTTTTGGTCCGACGATAAGCGATTCACGAAGCAGTTCAAGGAAGGGATGTTCCGCGCCGGCGGCGTCGGGATGCAGAAGTTCAAGCCGTACAGCAAGTACCCGCCGTGCTTGAAGGACGTCTCGTTCTGGCTCCCGAAGGAGAACCCGGAGTCGTTCACGGAGAACAACCTGTGCGAGGTGCGTTCTATCTCACACTGGTTCCCGTACGACCGCGTCGGCGTGGTGAACGCCGATCCTTAAGGACTTTACTTCCCGGCGCATCTCTCCGCCCAGGGTCCCTCAGTTTCAATCCCCGCCCGCGTTGCCTTTCAACTCCATCTGACGCCTTTCAACTCCACCCCACAGGTTGTCCGCGACGTCGCCGGGAGCCTCGTGGAGGAGGTGAAGCTCATCGACGAGTTCGAGAACAAAAAGAAGGGCCTGACGTCGAACTGCTTCCGGATCACGTACAGGAGCATGGAGAGGAGCCTGACGGACGAGGAGATCAACGCGCTGCAGGATAAGGTGCGGGAGGACATGGTGGCCAAGCTCGGCGTGGAGCTGCGCTGAGCGAGCGGCGCGCGGGCGGGGGGAGCGCGCGAGCGACTGTTCGATTCGATTTTTTTAACACCACAATATTCGTTCACGACGATCGCGCGGGTCTACAACTCTAACTCGCGATAGGCGCCCGGGTCGCTTCGCTTCTTCTTCTTCAGCGGCTTCTTCTTCGGCTGCTTCGGCTTTGGCTTCGGCTTCTCCTCGTCCGGTCCGTCGTCGTCGTCGTCGTCGTCCGCCTCCGCGGCTCTCTTCGCGCGAAGTTCCTCCTCGAGTTCCGCCTTCATCGCTCTCAACTTCTCGATGCGTTCCGCCCGCGCCCTTCGCTCCTTCTCCAGCTTCGCGAGCTCCTCCTTCCGCGCCCTCCGCTCGTTCGCCTCCGCTCGCTCCCTCTCCTCCCTCTCCTCCCTCTCCTCCCTCTCCTCCCTCTCCGCCCGTCCACGCTCTCTCCGCGCCCGCTTCGCCTCCTCCGCGTCGTACCCCCGCCGCGCGCGCTGAGGGTCGTTCCATACAAAGCGACGTCGGGGTGGAGTTGAAAGGCGTCAGTTGAAGTTGAAAGGCGTCGCGGTCGGGGATTGAAAGCGAGGGGCGGGTGGAGAGATGCGCCGGGCAAAGTCTTTAAGGAATCGCGTTCACAACGCGAACGCGGCCGTATGGGGACCAGTGTATAGAACGCACCTCGTCCGCCCGCCGCGCCCGCTCCTCCGCGCGTTCGGCTCGAACCTCCGCCTCGACGTCCCTCTCTTTGCCTCCCGCTCTCCCCTTCCGCGAACCTATCAGCGTCTCGCGCGCCTCGTTCAGCTTCGTCTGCATCTCCATCGCCTCGTCTTTATCGCCCTTGTACTTATCCGGGTGCCACTTGATGGACATCTTGCGGAACGCCTTCGTGATCTCTTCCTCCGTCGCGCCCGCGGACACGCCCAACAGCCTCCGCGCCTCTCGGACGCTCAGACTCGAGTCTCCGCCGAAGTTGATCTCCGCGCCGAAGCCGCTGAAGACGTCCTCGAAGAACGCCTTGGCGTGTCGCGCGAACTCGTCGCCGTTCAGATCCCACGACCCGTCGGCGTCCTTGTGAAAGATGCCCTCCTCCACGACCCACTTCGTGGCGAAGACGCCCGTGACGAGCGCGAAAATCCAGATCAATACCAAGAGGCTCAGGGTCGTTCCATACCAGCGAATGTCGGGGTGGAGTTGAAAGGCGTCAGACTTGGGAGTTGAAAGGCGTCGAAGGCGGGGATTGAACGCGAGGGACCATGGGCGGAGAGACACGCCGGGCAAAGTCCTTAAGGATCGGCGTTCACCACGCCGACGCGGTCGTATGGGGACCGGTGTGAGATAGAACGCACCTCACCGCGCCGCCGAAAGTGATCGGCTTATCGTCCCACCGCGGGTCCCCCGTCCGCCACCGCCGGCTCCGGTGCGCCGCGAGCATCGCCGCCGGCAACGCCGGGAGGATGGACGAGACCCCGAACCCGCCCGCGCAGACGGACGCGCCGACGGCGGCGGCGACGACGTTTCGAAGCGAACACGCGACGCGTCCCGCGGAGGAGACGCCCCAGACGCCGCATCCCATCGCGATCGCGCCGAGGGCGTACGCGTAGGACGACGGCATCGCGAAGCTCGCGAGGAAGCCGACGGAGAAGTAGTACCACGCGCCGACGATGATCCACGCGAGAAGCCGGGACGTTTGATACGGCGGTTTGGGCGACGACGCCACCTTCGCGGCGTGGCGCGCCTCGTGATCGGGATGCGCGTTCGCCTGCCGCGCGTACTCGGGGATTCGGACCGCGTCGCGCAGCCATCCTAACCCGAACATCGCGCCGGACGTGGACCTGCGTCGAGAGACGTGGAGAGAGCGAATCGGTTTAGAGCGATGAGATGGCTCGAGCGAACGACGACGACGGAGGGGGAGGGGCGGGGAGGGGGATCGATCGCGAGAGGTCGAGATCGCGATCGATCGCTCGATCGAAGGTTCGCGCGCGCGCACCAGAGGACGCCCTGCGTGTGCCGCTCGAGGTAGAAGTGGTGCAACCCGCACCACCCGCCGATGAGCCACAGGAGGTACGCGGTGGCGACGCTGTGCGTCTTCCGCCAAGGCGGCGGGATCGGCGCCGCCATGCGGCTCGCCGAGGGCGCCATCTCGCGAGGCGCGCGCGACCGCACTCTGATGACGCGATTTGGCTTTTTTTTTACTGTTACCTTTCTCCTCTAGTCCTCGGATCGAACCGTCGCGGCGTCGCCTCGTCACTCGCCCCCGCGCCGTCGGCACGTCCTCGACGCCGGCCGCGCCGCGCCGCGCGAAGAAGAAGAAGAAGGAAGGAAGGAAGGAAGACCCGCGCGCGCGACGGTCGGCGGCGGCGGCGAGCGAAGCGAAGCGAAGCGAAGCGAAGCCGCCGAGCGCCGTCGTTCATCGTCATGGTCCTCGTCCTCTGCATCGGCGACCTGCACGTCCCGTCGCGCGTCGCGTCGCTCCCGGCCAAGTTCCGATCCCTGCTCGTCCCGGGAAAGATCCAGCACGTCCTGTGCACGGGCGACCTGTGCGACAGAGAGACGTACGACTACCTGCGCGCGATATGCCACGACGTCGTCGTCGTCAAGGGCGCGCGCGACGACGAGAGCGCGGCGTCGCGCCCGGAGCGCATCGTCACGGTCGTGGGCGACTTTAAGGCGCGTTCTGTTGTACACTGGTCCCCGTACGACCGCGTTGGCGTGGTGAACGCCGATCCTTAAGGACTTTTGCCGTCGTCTCTCTCCGCCCAGGGTCCCTCGCTTTCAATCCCCGCCCACGACGCCTTTCAACTCCATCTGACGCCTTTGAACTCCACCCCGATATCATCGCTCGTATGGAACGGCCCTAAGATCGGACTCACGCACGGACACCAGCTCATCCCGTGGGGGGACGTCGACGCGCTCGCGCACTGCGCGCGGGAGATGTGCGTGGACATCCTGGTCACCGGGCACACGCACCAGTTCAAGGCGCACGAGCACGAGGGGCGGCTGTTGATCAACCCAGGGAGCGCGACGGGCGCGCCGGGGGGGGGCGCGGAGGCGCGTTCATATTCTATTTCCACACCGGTCCCCATACGACCGCGTTCGCGTTGTGAACTTCATTCCTTAAGGACTTTCTCTCCCGGCGCATCTCTCCGCCAATCACCCCTCGCTTTCGATCCCGACGACACACCTCGACGCCTTTCAACTCCGCCTCTGACGCCTTTCAACTCCACCCCGACATCATCGCTCGCACGGACCGTCGACCCTCGTCAGCCGGGGCGAGACGCGCGGCCGTCGTTCGTGCTCATGGACGTGGACGGGAGCCGAGTCACGGCGTACGTGTACGAGCTGGTGGGGGACGAGGTGAGGGTGGATAAGATTCAGCATTCGAAGGCGTGAGTGGGGGGGGGGGGGGGGGGGGGGATAAGGGGGGGGGGGACCGCCCGGAGGGGGCCGGACCCCGGAAAAA